TATTAAAGCAGGATTTGTTGAAGGTGGAAAATATTCAGGGCAGAGTTTGGATGAAATGAAACCTTAATCTGCCCTGGGGTGGGTGAGGGTGTCCCCCGAGAGCAGGGTGTGCAGGCTCCAAAGCCAGATGAAGTAATGGGGATTCCAGGCACCAGCCTGGGCCAAGGGACAGCTGCCTGTTTTGAAGGAGGGAAATCCCAGGCCCTGCCAAGTTGAGACTTGATTAAGGAAAAGACTATGAAGATAGAACCTTCCTTTCTCCAGGCTGGGCTACAAAATGTACTTATCTACCTCTGGGCCTTGGAGTTTTTCAGTTGAAAAATGCTTTTTCTGTAGCTTCTCTTAATCACATTATGTATTTCAAGAGTACTTTCCCCTGAGGACCAAATATAAAGAAGAAAGATGGTTCTGAGAAAACACATTTATAACCAGCCTTGCTCTGGGGCCCATTAAGACCGCTTGGCTCTGTGGCAGCACCACCTGTGTCTTTTCCACTGTCCCTGCCTCGTTACAGGACAGCTTCTGAATTCCAAGGCATGTGTGCTGTGCTGCTGTTTCTTCCTACTCAGATCATGGCTAGTGTTTCCAGACTCCTCTCACAGCACTGTCCTGGTTGGCCTTCTCATGGTACTGTATTATTTCTAGCTTCTATTCTCGAGAGTAACAGATTGTGGGTTATACTGTCAAGCGTTAGCACAATTCATAAGGTTATTACCTTTTAATGAATGCATAGTAGATATTATAAGACATAAAGTATTTTAAATTAGAATTAGCAGCAAATTTTAAGGTAGTGAGATACGTACCCAAGTCAGATGGAGAAGTTGAAGTACATGTAAACAGCAGCACCAATGGCCCGGTACTCCTCAGGGACGCATTGCACAGTGACAAACTTACCCTGCGGTTGTGGTGTGTGACCCTGTAACCAGAGCTTACTGTTCACGCGATTCAGCAACTTTGAAATGATGTTATATTTCTTGGCAGTTATTTTTTAATTTGAAGGAATTTTCACTGCCTAAAACTTTACAAATAGGTGGAATTTTACGGAGCTTATTATTATATCAAACTATTTCACATCTGTATGTTTAAAATTCACATGCAGTATGACAGCACACTGTAATGGTCAAGGAAGCTTAGAGACAGAGCAAACCCAAATCCAGGGCAGAGGCAGGTGTTTTCTAGATAACCTCAATGCTGGAAGAAGAACAGAGAATGTTTGACCATCTCCTCCCCTTTTGCTTCCTTAATCTTTGGCAGCCAGTTAATCTTTCCTTGTACCCCCCAAAGTTGGGCCTCTCCCCTAATAGCTACTATTATTCACTTTATTTATTGATCTATTATTGTGGTTCTACTCCTTTTCCCCAATTCACCTGACCCCCTGCCCCTTCTAACTTTATTGATGCTTTTTGGCATGTTTTAATTGGATAACTTCACTTCTAAGGTGGAGGTTTAACCATGCACATAGGAGGCTTGTCATAGAAGGTCAGAAAGCAACTTGTCACTGAGCTCTGTAGCCAAATCCCCAGCCTGAGCAGGGACGGCCAGCCTAGGAATGAGGCGCCTTGTCACAATTGCAAACTTCTTTACGTAGCATAGATTCTAGGACAGAAGAGCTAGCCCTGTCTTCCTAACAAGTAAGTGACTTAACTCAGGTTGCTGTAACAAAATCCCATGCACTAGTTTAAACAGCAAGCAAATTTATCTTTTCACAGTTCTAGAAGCCAAAAGTCTAAGATCAGGATATCAGCATGCTCAGATTATGGTGAGGGCTCCATTCCTGACTGTTAGACATCTGTCTTCTTGTTGTGTCCACATGTTGGAGACCAAGCTCTGTTCTCCCTCTTCTCAGAGGGGGCACTAATCCCATCACCAGGGCCCCACCCTCTTGACCTCACCTGAACCTCACTACCTCCCACCCCTACCTCCAAATACCATCACATTGGGGGTTAAGTCTTCAATGTGTGAATTTTAGGGGACATACAAATTTAGACCATAGCAAGAGATTTCTTGAAATACATGCTTAAGGAGATTTTTTAAAAAGTGATTTGCGAATTTAAGATATTTTTATTAGTATTGTCATAATTCTTTATTGGCAAGTTTCTAAACTTTCCCCCATGTGCCTTGGTTACTAAGGAAACCAAATTATTTCTGAGCAGTGTTCTGAAAAATAGAACCCTGGTGCAATGTGAAATTTCAGAAGCAAAATATTAAATGTACAGAGCGTTGAGACTCTGTGATAACACAGACTATCCTTTGATCCTGGTTTCAGACTTCACTGCATTGCTGCTTTACGGCAATGCAAGTATTTTCATTCAGTAGAATCTGTGTATACCTTATATATCACTTAACAAAGAAAATGAGACAGGGCGGTGCCTGTAGCTCAAAAGGGTAGGGCACCGGCCCCATATACCAGAGGTGGCAGGTTCAAACCCAGCCCTGGCCAAAAAAAAAAAACAAAGAAAATCAGACAGACAAGTTTTGAGGAAGACAGAGGATTAGGCAAGGTTTGGGTCAGAGAACACCAAGGCCAGGAGGTGGTAGGAGCCATGGAGGGGTGAGGTCCACCGGCAGCTGCAGAGGGGTGGAAGCAGGCAGACCAGTGGTGAGAAAGCACTGGAACACCAGGTGGGGGTCTCATTGTTGGACAGTAGACAGTGGTAGATGTGGAAGGACACAATCAAAACAGACTTTCCCCTCCTTCTCAGCTAATGTCCCCGTGATTGCCGCACACCGTGCACTGTCTGGTCGCTGGCACAGAATGGTGAGCCCCCGGGAAATGTTGAACAAGGGGCTGAATAAATAATTAAGTGAAAACCTCCAGTACCCAGGTTCACCATACCCCCCGCAGCAGCCTCTCTCCTGTCCTGCATTCTCCAACCCTGCAAAGTTTCAGACACTGAAACTCCTTGAGGGAAGGTTCCAGGAAAATGAGGAATGAAGAGAGCTTGATAGCTGAAGGGCTGACTTGGGAGCTCGGCTTACCTAAGGATGGGTCATTTAGAGAACACAGTCATCAAAATACAGTGTCTTCTCAGTTGTTTCCATTTCTTTTGACTCTTGGAATTACTTTTTATTTCTCCTGAGCACCTTTTCTTTCTTATCCAGATTGTCAGTTTGCTTTGGAAATGACACGTTATCTGCACACAAAATTGCTTGCGCTGACTCCAGGTGATGGAAGAGACTAACACACAGCCGCAGTGGGGCTTTTGTTTTAAAGAGGATTTCGGTGGATCAGTTATTGCACTTTAATTGCTATGACTTGCAGAAAACAAATCGTATCTGTGTGTTTTGTGTATGTGTGTGTGTTACCATTAAGGGTCTATCTTTTAGTCTATGAAAGCTCTAAATGTTATTTTTAAAACTGCTTTATGATTTTAATATTTCACATACATCTGTTTCATGTCGTGTTTGGAAAATGCTTCTCTTTTTTAATAGTGTTAATATATCTGGAAGTTAATTTTCAAGATGGCTTGATTATTTGAAAGTGTAGTAGTTGTTTCTATTCTATGTTGTGTAATTTATTATTCATTACACTCAGCAGTGTAAAATATCTGAGCAGAAAGGTGCAGTAGAGCTCTCCTACTAAGGCTTCTTTTCTTGAGACAGAGTCTTACTCTGTCACCCTCAGTAGAGTGCCGTGGCTTCATAGCTCACGGTAACCTCAGACTCTTGGGCTCAAGTGATCCTCAGACTCCCAAGTGGCTGGGACTCTTGCCCACCACCATGCCTAGCTAGTTTTGGTGGGGGGTTGTTTTTGTTGCTGGTTTTTCTGTTTTTACTATGGATGGGGTCTTGCTCTTGCTCAGGTTGGTCTCGAACTCCTGAGTAGTTCACCCGCATCAGCCTCCTGAAGTGATCGGACTGTAGGCGTGAGCCACCATGCCTGGCTCCAGCAGGGCTTCTTGGTCCTTGCCAACCTAGCTCCCGTTTCAATGAATGCAAAAAATTAAAAAAGTGTTCAATACAATCTGAAATTCAAAGCAAATTAAAATGAAATATTGTCACTGAAACCAAAGCAAAGCATTGTGACAGTGTGTCATTGTTTTTCTTCTGTGTTGCAAATCACAAGTGGCTTTGAGGTTCTGATATTTCCTACCCATTGTCGACGTGGTTGACTAGATTAAGCCCCTTGTTTTACAGATAAAAAGGTGACAGTAGGGTCACAGTAGTGATAGTGACTACTGTGACTGAGGGTGACAGTAGTGATAAAAAGGTTGAAGTCTGAGGATTTGAGGAGTGTGTGGAACTCACTACATTAGGAGCAGAGCTGGGCCAGGAACCCAGACATCCTGGGAACAGGTCAATGCTTCTCCCACAAACCTCTCCCATCACTTAAGGATAGTCCCCTCTGTGCAAAGGAGACATCTCATCTGGTGTCACCTCCCTGCCTCTGATGATGCTGATATTCAAGAGAGTTATTGTAACTTTATGTCATCACAATGGAACAGAGGCTGAGGCCAGGAGAGACCTCACAGGTGTGGCTACTCCATGGGCTCTGTTCATTTGTTTGTTTATTTGTTTTTTTTTTTGAGACAGAGTCTCACTATGTTGCCCTTGGTAGAGTACCACAGCTCACAGCAACCTCAAACTCTTGGGCTTAAGTGATTTTCTTGCCAGAGCCTCCCAAGTAGCTGGGACTACAGGAGCCCGCCACAATGCCCAGCTATTTTTTGTTGCGGTTGTCATTGCTGTTTAGCTGGCCCAGGCCAGATTCGAACCCATCAGTCTTAGTGTATGTGGCTGGTGCCATAACCACTGTGCTACGGGCCTGGCTCTGGTTTGTTTTTAATCTATTTTGTGCTCACATTTGTGCTGACCTGCCATAAAAACACTTCCTGGGTATAGCTCCTGGGAACAGGTAGGACAAAATCTACACCTGAAAATGAACTCACTTTTGAAACAAAGTTTGAGTCTTCTATCTCATGGAAAGCTCTTACTGATGGTTTCCCCTTGACAATTCAACATATCCTCTCAAACTTCTAATTTCCTCTTCTTTTAAACAGTGTATCCGGTGGAGAGCTGTTTGATCGGATAGTGGAGAAAGGATTTTACACAGAAAAAGACGCCAGCACTCTGATCCGCCAGGTCTTGGATGCCGTGTACTATCTCCACAGAATGGGCATCGTCCACAGGGACCTCAAGGTGCGGCCATCGCTTAGCGACACCTTCCAGGCACTGTCCAGCCCACAGTACAGCTGCCCAAAGAGACTAATCCTGAGGGAGGAGGGGGGCTGCTTTGATGTAGAGATGGGGGGACAAACGTGTACTTTCAGTTGTCAGGGCCTGTGGGACTCAGAAGTCGTATGGAAGGAAATGAAGGTCACTGTGGCTGGCCGTTGTTTAGGGGATCTTATAACCGTGGTGTAGCCAAAGGGCCCCATGCAGGTGGGTCATGTATTGCTTCAAGCCCATCTTAGAGTAGTTTTGTTCAAGACTTATGGCCCAGAGGAACCCTTCTCCCATTCCAGTGCCATTTCAGCACAAGCCACCATAGAAGAGGAGAGCAGGAGTCAGACAGTGTGAGGGGGAGGGAAGGGAGACAGAGGGGCAGGAGGACACACAGGGTAGAACTTCAGACTTCTCTCTTCCTTTCTTGGTTTTTTTTTTTTTTTTTTTTTTTTGTGTGAGTTTTTGGCACGTTGACCCTTCACCCAGGAGCACAGAAGGATCTGGGCCATCCGTGCACACCTCAGCATGACATGTCTGCCCTTCAGTCTGTGTGGCTATGAAGGGCAGATAGCAAATAGGTAGCAAAGGGCGACTCTCCCATGTAGCATGAGAGGGTAGATCCTACTCACATAGTCCCGAAGGCAGATCTCACACAGAAGAACTTGAGAAGCAGTGAAGCAGGGTGTCGACCAAGGCTGCAGGGAGGCTTGTTGTACAGGACTGCACATCCAGCCCCAGAGCCTACGGCACCAGTAAAGACAGAAATTCCACCCTGCACCCCTAACTACCGTTTGTATTGTGAAACTCAAGGACTGCATTGCAGGAAGTCTTAACCTAAAGCAATGATTTTCAACCTTTTTTTAATCTCACAGTACACTTGAACCTGTAGTTAAACTTCCATGGCACACTTAAATTATGTCGGTCTAAAAAAGGCGTGAAAAGAATATACTTACTGTGCTTTGAGCTTCTTTTTAAAATAACTTAATTAATGATCTTAAAAAGTTTTGTGGCACACCAGTTGGAATTCACTGATGTAAAGAACCCATCGTAAACATTTGTTAAAACAGAATTTCTGCACCTGCCCATTATCTGCTTCTAGGTGTCAAGGGATGAACTGGTCTAGCATTTCCTTTCATGCAGACGCTCCCTGTCAAGTTTTCTGTGTTACCAAGTTGTATTGATTAGGACAAGTTTCCCAGATGTCCACATGCATCAGAATTTTCTAGAAGGCTTGTGAAAAGAGAGGCTGCTGGCTTCACCCCAGGGCTCTGATTCTGTTGTCTCCACTGTGGCCCAAGAACTTGTGTTTCTAACAGGTCCACAGGCAGTGGGGGCGCTGGTCTGGGAACCGGTCTTAGAGAACCATAGGGCAGGTGTGTTTGAGAATGTCAGTGGAATCCTTGCCGCCTTCACTTCTTGCAGGCTTCTGTGAGCCTGAGCGGCAATCTCCAGGGCCTGGAGGATCTTCAGAGAGCCAGGAACGGCTAGCTCAGCCTACCTGCCTCTGTGCCAGGCAGCAGGGACTGCTCTGCTCTCTTGTGCCCCCACCAGTGCCGCCTCTGTGCTTCCAGCACACAGCAGGCAGCTCTCTCTAAACGAGTTAGTGTGCTAGCCACAGAGCTATGGTGTGATAGGCTGTCTGCCTGGACTTCTTAGCAAAATAATTTCCAAGCCAATAAACCGTACCCCAGAAAGGCAGTGTTTCCTTTCTAGAGCTCTTGGTTTCACTCCCACATGGTGTCTGTGGAGTTCTTGCAGCTCCCGACCACTCTAAAGCACCAGGCTTGTACTGTGGAAAGAACATGGCCAATTTAGGACCTGTCTGTGCTCTTTTCTCAGAGACACAGAGGAGTTGGATCTATGGGGAGGAAGTTGAAATTCCACTATTAAATTTTTGTAAACATCTGAGAAAGTTAAAACAGCCTCTACACTCCAGGCCAGCAGAGTGGAAAGTGTGAGCACAGTAAGATCCATGCAACTGTGGGGTCCTGCCCTGCCCCACCTGCAGGTACACCTGCTCCCCCAGAGAGCTACTGGACACAGTGCATTGTTCTTTCTTCACAATGAAGGGGCTGGCACAGGGAGTGCCCCTGCCACCACCCAGGTTAGCGCAGGGTTTCTTTGCCCTGCAACACTGTCGTTTGGGTCTAAAGAATTCTTTGCTGTGGGAGATGGTCCTGGGCGCTATAGGATATGGGGCAACACCCCTGGCTCCTACCAACTCGGTGCCACCAGTAACTATTCTTGGATTCATGACAACCAAAAATGTCTCTGGATCAGTGATTTTCAAGTGTATCTCATGACACAGTTGAACTTCCATGGCACGCTTAAGTGATGTTGATCAAAAAAAAAAAAAAAAAAGAGAGAGAATGAAAAAGAGGATATATTTTCTGTGCTTGCAGTTCTTTTGAAATTAATTAATGATCTGAAAGCAGGGAATTCATGGCACACGAGTTGAAGAATCACTGCTGTAGACATTGCCACATGTCCCCTAGGGAGCAAGATTGTTCCCAGCTGAGAATCATGGCACTAGGAATGTGATTATTTATTACACTAACTATACTGGAAGTGTGTGGGTTCAAAAAAAAATTTTTTTTGAGACAGAATTTCACTCTGTTGCCCTTGGTAGAGTGCTGTGGCATCATACCTCATAGCAACCTCAAACTCTTAGGCTGAATGCAGGCTAAGCCAACTACAGGGCACCTTAGGATGCTGGTGAGGGAGGGGGACCACTGAGAGAAAGGAACAGAGGAGCACCTGCCACAGTAAGCTCCTTTCCTGGGAGTCCCCTGTCCCTGACCCCAGAACTGAATCCACATATTGGAGAGGCATCAGCTTTCTAGGTTGCCTCACAATATGGTTAATTATTTTAAGTAGACAAAACATGAATAAAGGACAGAGACTCACATCTAATTAAAGCCTGTCTATGCAGATACTGCTCCTGTCCACCTCTGTTCTCACTGATGCATCTCCTGTGTCTAAAGGTCAAAGACATCCTGACTCCGTAATAGGTTTTGTGGTTGGGTGAATGCTCCACAATTAAACTTTAAAAGAGTCGGTCAATTTTTTTTTTCTTATTTTTCTTTCTAGCCCGAAAATCTATTGTACTACAGTCAAGACGAGGAATCCAAAATAATGATCAGTGACTTTGGCTTGTCAAAAATGGAGGGCAAAGGAGATGTGATGTCCACAGCCTGTGGAACCCCCGGCTATGTCGGTAAGGAGTGTAGAGTGTGTGCATCCCCATGTGTCCATTTCATCTGTCCTCTTAAGCGGTGGAGCCTGGTATGTGATCATCGCTGCCTTCATGTCCCTTGTGGAAAGAATAAAAAGATTGAGAGATGGCTCGGCACCTATAGCTCAACCGGCTAAGGCGCCAGCCACGTACACCTAAGGTGGCGGGTTCGAATCCCCAGCCCGGACCCGCCAAACAACAATGACGGCTGCAACCAAAAAATAGCCGGGCGTTGTGGCGGGCGCCTGTGGTCCCAGCTACTTGGGAGGCGGAGGCAGGAGACTCGCTTGAGCCCAGGAGTTGGAGGTTGCTGTGAGCTGTAATGCCATGGCACTCTACCCAGGGGGACAGCTTGAGGCTCTGTCTCAAAAAAAAAAAAAAAAGATTGAGAGATGCAGAAATTAGTCATCAGGGAAGTGATTTCCCCCGAAAACTTTTGAATGGTTGGGTAGAAATCCCAGTTGATTTGGTTGTGGGCCTGACGAGAGGCTGGGAGTTAATTTAGATGAATCCCCAGATTGCAATACCAGAAATATTGCATAGCTCTGTTTTCAGGTGATGGACAGTGAGATACTGAGATTATAAGGCACAGACGCAATAAAACATTCAAAATATTGACATAGAAGCAGCCGGGAAGAAAATATTGATAGGAGGAACTTGGGCTAAACCTTGACGAAGTTGCTCTCATGAATCGGTCAACTCTGGTCTGTATTGGTGACACTAAGGATTATAATTTTTCCTAAAATCATAACCCAGATTCTTTGCACTAAACGTACAGAATGCAGAGCAGTCTACGATGGATGCGAACATGTGGGTACTGAGTCTGAGCGTCCCTTCTGGGGACCTGGAGCGAGGCCCTTGGTACTGCTGGGACTCTCTGGACATCTTCATTTTTGACAGTGTGTCATTCACTCAGCAAACCCACTTGCAGCTGCTGCTGCTGCCCCCGTAGTGAGGGAGACGGACACTGCTGCTGCCCTCACAGAGTTGAGGTTTTAGCTGAAGTGACGGGCAGCAAAGAGAAATGAACGGGGTCGTTTCAGATCTGAGAGCCTCGAGGAAGATAAAACTGAGGGCATGATGTTGAATAAGGAAGGCAAGGAGGGAGGAGGACTGGGCACTCGCCTGGGTGACAAGAAGCCAGACTTGTGGGGGTTGGAGGACAGACAGCCCTCCAGGCGGAGGAGTCAGCTTGTGCAAAAGCCCAAAGGCAGGGGGAGGGTGCGGGCTGGGCGTGGGGAGAGCAAGAAGAAAGACGAGGTTGGAAGAGAGATTCGGAAAACGGAGACCGTGAATTCTTGTCACGCAGATTGTGATATCCTTTTGTCATAAGCACAGTAAATGAGCCACTCTGAAAGAAAGGAGGTCGTGTTTGTGACAGCACCATTCCTGTGTGTCTTCAGAGCAACCACAGAACCTTCCCTGGCAGGCTGAGGAGAGCAGCCTCCAACTGACAGGGTGGGGAGTGGGAACCGAGCATTGCAGGAAAGTCTGGATGACCTAGAAAGCACTCCACAGCCCTTCCAGTCCTTGGGTGTAGTGATGCCATCCTGTCAAACTCTGTGTCACAACTGTTTGTTTTCAAAGGGAAACAAAGCAGGCTGAGGAGGATAGAGGGAAAAATGAGGGGGGATTCTGGAAGGAGGAGATGTGGGGGTGGGCATTGCTGTGGGTGGGGCTGGTGGCCCTGAGGTGTGTGTGCAGCAGGCAGAGAGAGAGAGGTCAGGGCAGGCCCAGACGCAGATGAATAGCATGGCCAGTGTCTAGGAAAGTAAATGGTGGTTGCAGGGGTAGCCTGGGGCAGAGTGTGGCGTGTGTAAGATTTCTATAGTCCAGTCCCTGCCATCAGGCAATCAGCAAATCAAAAAATAAGGCAGTTTCTGGGCGGTGCCTGTGACTCAAAGGAGTAGAGTGCCGGCCCCATATGCTGAAGATGACGGGTTCAATCCCAGTCCCAGCCAAAAACTGCAAAAAAAAAAAAAAAAAAAATAAGGCAGTTTCTTTTCAGGCCTCTTTAAAACCTGGCTGGGGTGAGTGGAGCCTGATATAGCCACTGTGAATCACAGACGTTAGAAAATGAAGAAGTCTATTGTCACCCTGCCTCAGCTTCTCATTCCCATGGATTTGCTCTCTTCAGCAAAGTCTCCAGGCTAAGACGGTGCCCATGCTGCGGCCTGCCTGGCTCTGTCCTTAGAAGGCAGCTGTCAGACTGCCTTGAGTGCCCTGCCAAGGACTGTCCATGTTTCCATATCCATCACACTCTTCTCACATGTGGCTCTGATGTCAGAAAGTACCAGCACTTTCTTTTTTTTTTTTTTTTTTTTTTTTTTTT